TTACGCGATCACAAAGATGCGTTCAGAGCATTAGTAAGTAGTTAGTTAAATGAAAGTAGAAATCTAGTATGGTTATAAATTAACAGAGACGATACCGCATTCGGCACGCGTATATCATATCTGTTCTAAAAGAAATGTAATCGCAAACAGAAATCGTAAATTGCAATGCAGAATTGTTGCAACGGTAATTCGCGACGCAAACACCTGCGCGTAATGCGGAATTATTTCATTCGCTCGTGAGAGCGCAAGCCAAGCGTACGAATCTACGATCGGGGAATCGGATCATTGTTACTTAAAACGGAACTACTCTTATCGATATAGTACTTCCACTTGCGAGAGACTCCCTTATTCTCCGTTACCCCTCTGTTATTCGTGTTGTAATTACATTAAAATCTTATCACGGAAGTAAATACAAACGCGGGGTAACTAGTTAAGCTCACGAGTTTACTGTCCGCTGACGTTAAACTTAAATTCGACTATTACTGATATTGAGGGAGAACAGATAATGAATTTGTTGGTCGGCTGATAAATATGATTATCGTTAGTCAATTTACACGAGAAGTTGATAAATTCTATTATATTGTAAACTTGCGTATTGTATTATATATTGGATTAGAACAAAATTTATTTAATGTTTGATTGCGTTAATGTTCTCCCCGCCTGCACTTAATCTTTGTTCTTAATATTCCGATCAACAATGTATTATGTATTATATGTATAATGTATTATGTAATATATTAATTATATAATTTACTCAGCTGCTGTGAGAGAGTATATATGCGAGATAAACAAATACCGAATATTAAATATTAAAATTCAATATTACATATTTAACCCTTTGCACTCCGGGCCTTTTTCGCGCGGCGCGAAAATGGCACCACATGGTGAATGAGAGTCACCACTGGAGTGCAAAGGGTTAATATATGAATCAATAATGGAAATCATAAATTAAGTCAATATTGGAAAGTCAATATTGGAAAGTAATTCCTTTTTTAGTCAGTATTGGAAAGTAATTCCTTTTTCTTTTAAAGGACAGTATAGAAATAATGGTATATTAAATTAAATAGGAAAATAGCCTATATGATGTTATATGTCGAGATTCATCAATGATGGATGATTAATGAAGTTTAATGGGATTTTGTAAAATTAATGGAGAACCAAGATTTTAACTCGGGAATTTTTTTTTGTATGCTCAGATATAATATATATATATATATATAACCGTCTTCATGGTATTTATAAAATCCATTATATCAATCGAGAAAAGGATTAATTTCAATGTTCAAACTTTTTCCTCTCTTCTCTGCTTCTTGAGAGATAAAGAAAATCAATGTGCAAAAAATCAAAGTTTCTCAGCCGCTGCATTAACTAAAGGACCCGATATAATGGCGATTAAATTTACTTTTTTAAGGATTATGGGGGACGATTAATCTCAGTCCTCAAGACTGTCTCTCGTTAGTAAAATTAATTCTCTCAAGCTTCTCACTTTCTTCAAGTAATGTTTCTTGCTCTACCGTTCCACCGAATGCTGCAACTCCGATTTTTCCGTTCCTACCCTACACGTTACTGCCGTGTTTCATACCGCATTTACTAGAATAATATAATACAACACGTAGCATCACGTTAACTTAACCAAACGTAACATTAAGATGTTGCGTTCGCGAAAAATCGCAACGTGACCGTGGCGGTCGTAAAGTTAACGTTCTGTACTCGAGGTATCAGCAGCCTATTTATGCGGGAAACTGGCGCATATCCAAGAGTGCACTCTCGTTATTACCGCGAGAGAGCGACGTCGTTAACCGCCGCGCGCTCTTCGCCATTGCGCTCCTGGTCGTTACGAATTACGAATTACGAGCGACTCGTTAATCTCGTTCGCGTAACCACGCGTCTGCGGTGGTCAGAAATTTTTCTCGAGGACGGCATCGCGAGAAAGTATCGCCGTCGCTCAACGGCGATTTACCGCGGCTCGTTACGATTATACGACGCCACTATGGCTCGTTACCGGCACTTCTCTTGCGTCTGGCGCAACGATGTGACTGTTTATTTTTGCGCCCACGCGGCAAAATCTAAAGCTGCTCGTAGACGAGAGAGAGAAAGGGAGGGGAAGAGAGAGAGAGAGAGAGAGAGGGGTTTAATATATATTAAAAGATGAATACATTGGTTTCCTTTCTCCATAAATTACTCGAGCGGCGATGAAACAGCTCTAAATTGGACACTCTTCTGAGCACAACAATATATATTTTATAATTTATACGCGTCTTGTTCTAAAAATACTCGGTGAGAAAATTATTTTCACAAGAGTGGCGATTCACCAATAATTTTGTAAAAATAGATTTGATTTCATTAAGAGGAATAATAAGATAAAGGATATAATCTTCGAGAATCTTGAAAATGAAAATTTCCAACGTTTTCAATCAACGTAACATTAATTTTGCGGATAAGCGAATGGTTCGTTTTGAGCAAACGTGCCGCACGCGATCCAATTACGACACTGTTCAAAAATTACGCATGCTGAATTATGAGTAAATAGTCGTCGAGGAAGAGTGGGAGAAAGAGAGAGAGAAAAGAAGAGAAAATCGCACGCGCCGCGTGTATACCGAGACGCACGAAAAGAACGACGTCGTAGGTCGTCTGGACGGCTCGTAAAAAACCGCCACACCGTGCACACATTGTGAATCCTCTTTAAAAACAATTTTCACTCGTTATCGCAGCCGCTCGTCGCCATCCACAAAGCCCGTAGCGAAAGGCGCGCCGCACTTTACACGATTACGCATGCTTATTTTCTCGCATACATTTTAATAGCCGCTATCGCTCGTTGCTCATAAACAAGTTTTTCTAAGACGTATGTCAGAGACGCGTTTTAGTTTTGCATGCAAAGCCAAGTTGTTACAAATGGAGAATAATAATCATTTACTTTTCTATCATGTTTCATATTTATCGTTTTTTTTTATTTCAAACTGGAACCGATCGATATTTATATTTCACGCTTAATAGTATCGGATAGCTCTCTGATTCCAATAGCGATTTTATGCGTTTCCGATGGTGCGAAGGACAAACTTTGAAATGATATGCGATCAAATATATAAATATTCATTTTAATGTTGTTAAGATAATAGCAGCATAAAATGAGCTTAAGAATTTATTGAAATTGAATTTATTGCATTACGGCCAGTATTTATGGTTAGATTTTATATTAAAGGCTGTCTTAAGATAACCTTCACATGCTGTACGATTTATTCATGGGCTATAAATCATCTGAAGATTAACTTAAATATAGATAAGACGATCTTAAATATAAGGTCGTACTATGAAAATATCGACTTATATGTAGATTTAAATATAATCTTATTATCGGCGTAATTAGGAAACAATTGACCGTTCGAAAACTGAAATATTCGTAACTGAAAATGACACTTTTTATACGCGTTGTTTGAGGTTAATATATACATATTTAAATATTTATATACTTCTTCCTATTATCTGTGCATCCCTATTAAATCCATTAATGTATAAAAATAGCATAATAACAAAAATAAAAAATAATATAAAAAATAATATTTTCGCATTTGTAATATTGTGTATAAATCTTTACCTCGATTTCGTTTAGAATTAATATTTATTATTTAGATAGCGAAATAAATGTACAGAAACGTTATTTTACTTGATAAATGCTAAATTTATGAGTGGGCCTCTTGACGCGTCATTGAAAACACGGCACTCAGTGTTACTTTTTCCTTAATAACAGAGGAAAATAACGGCAATGTCAGCCGTTGTTTCTCGCCGATGCGATATTTCCGTGTTTCGCGAGCGAGTTACGCGAGCATGCTACGAATTGGAGCCAGCACGGATCCGCTTAACGCGGATTCGCCGCTCGATACGACGTGCAATTACGTGCAACAGATTTTTACGGGGAGTAGAGCTCGGTCCGTTTATGGTGGATTAAATGGGTTAACGCCGTTGCTTGTCTGCTACGAACGGGTTTTCTCTTAGTTGCGAGCGCACATCTCGGCGCGTAACCGCGGCGTAAACGAGATCGTAAATCAAGGTGATTTTTTATGATCACTAAAATTACGCTATAATACGGCTAAGTGGTTTATAAAGTACTTGTCTTACTGCTCTCGCAACCGAGCCCGTTGTTTCGATTATTGCCATATCAGCCGTTGTTTCTCGCCGATTATTCCTTTCGCTGATAATAAATCGCGATTATGCGCATAGATATGGTATCGTTGTGACTAATTATTCCGTTTGATCGAGCCAGGGAATTGACGCCGGGCAGGCATGAAACGCATTCGATCTGAGGTATCTTATTATGTGGTAAACAAGATCGCGTGAAGAAGATGATGAAAGTCCTCAATTAGTACCGCTTTGAATGTGAAACTAGACGCGGATTATTGCGTCAGCGAAAACTTCGGAACCAACCACTTTGCTCGAAGTAATGTCTCGGAGACACGTAGAGTTTATTAGCTATTTAATAGATTTAAAGTAATAGAAATATTGTGGGAAAAGCACCAAGACCGACATACTTTCTCGTTTTTGGTACATATATTTATCTCAGCTTCGTTTTAAATTAACATTTGTTATTTTGTTAGTGAGTATAAATGTATAGAAACGAGATTTTCCTCGATAAATAGTAAATTTATGAAAGGCCCCCTTGATGCGCCACTGGAAATATGGCACTTACCGTTAGAACCTCCTTAAATAAACAACGAAAAGGGAAAAGTCACCAGTCACCAGTAGCTTCAATTGTATTCTGTGACATGAAATTTCACAGCAAAATTCCAGTATATCGGTTGATAGATCAACCAACTCACCAGTAAATTCATGTCTTACTATGTTTACAGAACAATCTAACTCTAACCTTTCTCGCGTGGTTCAGTGACAGAGGATGAAGGTTGTTACAAGATTTAAAGTGATTTAAGGGGAAAGTCTACTGTGATAAGGGAAAAAACAGGCCGATTTTCCGAATTTTTTTTCTAACAAAATATGACTCGTACATTAAATTAAATTAAACCGTCATCTTTATTATATATTCAAGTATTTGTAAAAAAATTTTCAAGTCGAAATATTCAAAATTGCCGTCGTGGCACTCCTTCAAGTGCAGGTCCGTTTTTTTTAGGTGCCCAAACGGTGTACATGAAATCTCACGTCTGGGTGATCTGAAACAAAAAACAAAATATGGTTATCATCTACATAGTATTGACTCTCGTCTGACGGAGGATTTTGTCGATAAAAAATTTTGGCGCCGAAAAAAAAATTCTTGAAATTTTTTTCTATTTTTTTGCCCAAATTTGATGTTATTATTGTTTATAACAATTACACAAAAAACGATATCAAAAAAATGCTCCGCCAGACGAGAGACACTATTCCAGAGAATATGTGGTTAAAATTTCAAGTCGATTCATTCATTAAAACTCGAGATATCGTGTACACCGTATTGAAAAACTTAGTTTCGAGAAAAACGCGTTTAAAGTTTCGGCATTAGTTTTTTCAATGAAAAAATCATTTTTAAGCTTCTTACCATTAATCGCCCATTCCTGCTTCATATAGTACACCTTCTTCTTCAAGGAAATCCTCTTCGAGTGCCGATCGCGCCGTTCTTCTTTCGATTCTCCCTTCTTTTGAAGCGTCGAACGACCGTTCGTTTGCTCGTGATATTCTGCGCTCGTCCACGGTGTTGCATAAATTGAAGGCGTTTGGTCCAATTTTGATGTTCATAACGTCCATCATTTTGAGGATACTGGAGTAGCCTTCATTGAAAATGCTCGCAGCACAATACGACGCAATATCGACGGTTTTTGCGCCGCTGAATGTTTGTTTCGGAGCTAACGATCAGATCATCTGTTGAAATCGCTTCTAACTGACTATAAAATATACCTAGTGATATCTGTTGATTGACTTGGAGTATTAGAAATGTTAGAAATTGAATTGCAAGTCACTACGCTGTACCCGCCGAACAGATAGGAATTTGCCGCAGGTACGCGTTTCGGAGCGCTTCGGTAAAAAGTCGAAATTTCAATGAAGAAAAATTTAGCCGGCTATAACACCTAATGTACCTTATTTTAGAGGGTTCAAAGTATTTTTTAAGCCAATAAACAAAAAATTGATTTTTTGAAAATTTTACAGTAGACTTCCCCCTTAAGAAGTTCAAAACTTACTTATAAAATAGTATTGTTCAGTAAATTACTTGCCACTGATTTGTTACTTAAACATTTTGCAACGTAACATTAGCAATGTTAGTAATGTTAGATAGATAAAAGGCCGTTGGATATTTAATTGGATATGAGACGAACGGGTCGATGAGAGCGAAACACGTCGCGTGATTCGTGTTTAACTTTTATTGGCTCGGATTCTCCACTCCGTAATATGATATTGCAGTATTTGATATTGACACAGTGAACTCTTCCCTTATCTCTTGCGGACATTCTAAATATATATCGCGCTAATTTCGCCGATCGAAGTGAAATTACGGGGCCTCCCGGAACATTCGCGGTTGCATCTCTCGCGAATGCTATCAATTTCCATTGATCATCAAACTTTCGCGTTTCTTGTTCCGACGGACGTCTTGACTCTTCCGACAAACACCGTCTCGCAGCCCACGCGATTCCATTTGCACTCCGGTCACGTAGTAATAAACAATCGTCCGGCAATCGGTGGCAGAACCTTTCGCCATACTCGGCGGGCATGCAAATGCGCGACTTAAACGACCTCACGCACGTCTCGCGATGATAAATGTGGACGGAGTATGTAAAGCGATGTAAGTGCTGAGAATATTTTTCATGCCTCCGTATTTATTGTGCTTCCGGTAGTCTTTCGTACGTATGGATAACATGCGAATAAATTTTGTCTCGTGCATACGTGAGCTAAGCCTTTCCTTGTCGAGCTCGCACGTATAATTTGCAAAAAAAACACCTCATTATACGGGTCGTAATTATCAAAACAAACGTATACTTTTTATAAAGCTTCTGTCACGTGTTGCAAGATGTATATGTATATAAGCTTCAAAGCAATGCTACATTCATGCATTCGTAAAATAAATAAATGTATTATAGATTCATATATAGCTCAATAAAATAATAGAATTCTTTTTAAAACCGTTATATCAAAATCGAATGTAAACAATGGATTGAAACTTTCTGTTTATAAGAGAATTGACATACAAAAAATTAGGTTTATTCTTAGATTTTATTCTTCGAAATTGCGAGATTTTAGAAAAGTTGAGACTTTGAGGATTTTATATTGTGTTTTGAACAATTTAGTTTCCATATCAAAGTTGCTATTCTATCTTAATTGGATGCGTGCAACATAGATTTCTCAGAAGGATCAGCTTCCACATGGGCAAACTAACATCATTGACTTGCCTTAATTACGATTTTATTCTGTTAAAATTAAGCCTTTTAATTTTTAAAGATCATAAGATACTTAGTGACTTTTTATTTCTTTTTAAAGTAGTAAAAGGTCTGATTGATAAGGGGAATCCTTGCATTACTTAAGACTTTCTATCTTTTCATATCGGAATGTATTAGATTTTATACGGTAAATTTAAACTATATGAACCGTCTGTCAATACTTGTGAATATACTTAATAACGCTATTGATATTTCATCGATTTCATATGTCACCGATTTCTTTAAAAAATGCTGTTATTAAGCAATTGTACTTATTCTCGTGATGTGCTTTTTGTTCTATTTTTATTTTATTTGTAAATATTTTTTTCTTTGCGTTCTCATTATTGATACATTTACATGTGTGTCTTTGTGTTCTCATTATTGACACATTTACATAATAATAATAATAATAATAAAATTGCATTAGATGATTTTATTTAATTTAGAACACGCACGATAGAGTACATCGTACGGTTTTTAGCAATTTCGAATGCAGTCGCAACCGAGCTCGTCGTTGGATTTTCCAAAAATTTACTTGCGATAGATTTTTAACGATGCGAAGTGATATCTCCTCGGATTTGCTCGACATTTTTTCACTTTCATATTTGCGTTCAACATTTCCAGTCTAGTAACGCGAGTCCATAGAGAGTGACGGCGATGTAAAGCCGTGGTCTACACAGCCGCGCTCCGAAACTTTACATACGAATCTCGCACCCGATAAACTCGGGCATCAACTTTATCGGACGATCGATCGAGCGAGCGAGCGAGCTTGCCGGTGACATGAGTAATTGCGTTCTGTGCGGAAGCGGAAAGCAGTACGGACCGGATACGAATGGAAGATCGCATTCCGCGCTATACAGGGTATCCCAGACGTCGCGCCACTTTCTCTCGGCCACTGCGAATATCGAATCGACGTAGCTCGTTGTGGTTATCCAGATTCGAGTAATACCGGGTATATAGAATTGAATATATAGGAGCGCGTTACAAAATCGTCCACTTCGACCAAGTGTTGCCTCGATTCTACTACATCCTGCGTGAAGGGGCTTCAAAATCGGAAACTACGGCAAAGTCGGATTTAACATGCATTATGATCCCGTTTATGCTCTAGTCACGAACTCAAATGGCCCTTGATAGTCCTTGATATTTCAATAACTGTACTCCGACCGGAGAGTATATTTCCCGCTCAATTAAATGTCCAATTAATGCTACGTGACTTTGGCGCTCGAATAGAACATGCATTATTGCTGTGCACACATACGCGAAGTCTTTACTATTGCGACGCGCAGTAAAAAAAAGAAATATGTATTTTTGATTCGTTTGTGAATGTTTTTTTTCCTATCGTGGCAGTTTTATTGCGAAATTTTATTAACTTTTCGCTCAGCCGCGTTTTTTTTCCTCCTGATAAAGTCGTCCAATAAAATCGCTATTAAGTTCAGTTCCATAAAAATGAAATTTGCCCGTTATCCCGATAAATTTTTTAAGTGGAAAGAACGAGCTGGAGGAATTCAAGGTCGAAATTCGATCAGAACGTTGCGCGAAAGCCTGCTCGCTGAATTATAAACCGCGCGATGTTGTAAGTAGGGGAAGCCGGGGCGTATTTTTTACATACTGATTATACAGGGTGTCTGATGTAAGCCGTACCATTCGTCATATATTTGTAGTATCACAAAGGTCATATACTTATGGTATCATAAAGATCAATGTGAATGAAAAAGTTCGATGACATTTTTCAAACAATCACGCAAAATCTTGAGTTATTAATTATTGAAAGTAGTCATATGCAGAAGCTTCTCTAATTAATAACTCAAAAGCTCAAAACCACTCGTGTGGTTATCTGCAAAATGATAAAGGACTTTTTTATTCAGTACAGCCTGATCTATACAAATATACGAGCGACAGGTTCGAGGTTCAAGGTTTAATATATTGATGCCCGTTGTTAGATACAATAACTGTCATATATCTGTAGATTAGACCATTCTGGGCCGAAAAATTTTACACTATACCCTCTTTTATTGATTAATTGAGATATATAAACTTCGTGACAAATAAACCGTATGACTTCTACTTCCGGTCCTCCCTACTGCGTACCACCAGCCGCGTCGATTCGTATTTGTTAAGCTCACTGGAGAATTAAGAATTAGTTACGGCCAAATGGATAACAATATGCGCGATGTGAGCTTCCGCGATGCACTTCGCCACCATACTCAATATGCGATTCCCGGCCAGACTGGATGACCTAAATCGGCTGTCATATAACTCGCTTTCGTAGTTCGCATTTGCGGAACAGAAACATAAATTTACTGCTGAGTGCAGGGGAAAAAAGAGAGATAGAGCGAGAGAGTGAGCAAGCGAGCGAGACGAATGGGATTCCGTAGTTCCGCGGTTCACGGTTTTCGTCGATTCGGCGATATTTTCTCACCGATGGGTGGATACGAAAGTAATTCCGCCATTTGGGAAGAGATACCAGTGTCGGAGCCCTCTCGAGCCCCAAGGCATAATCTGCGTTCGTGACGGGATAGACTCTCTAGAACTAGTGGAATATCTTTCTTTCTTTCTCTCTCTCTCTCTCTCTTTCGCGCGCGCACAAATTTTATCCGCGAAATAGTTCGCGTTACCCGAAAAGTAGGAACAAAATAACGACGCGATCCCTCCGCATAAATATTCTACGCTCGTGTCACGTAAAAGTAAGCTACCGGGCAATTTAAATTAAACGTTAAAAAAAGGAATCACGTGTAAATGTGAGAAGCTTTTCGAAGCTCTGGGTAATTTTAAAATAATCATAATTAAGCGACGAGATAGAACGAAATACAAAAATTGATTAAATTTACGTCGAAAGACAATTTGAGAAATTGACTTATGTGTATATTTCTATGTTTCATGTACGTATAGAAAAAATATCATTCTACCGCTGAGAAAAGCGATTATTCAGTTTAATTTCCTTCTTTTTTAAGTAACGGTTATATTCAACAAAGAATATATTTTCTTCATAATATTATCTTCATAATCTTAAAATATGCTCATCATAAATTTTAGAAAAGTTTTTTTCTCATATAATAAAAAGAAGAATTTATTTTCTCCTTAAGAATATTATAGAATTTTATCGGAGGAAAGTTATATTCGATTAATTTAAATAAATGATCCAATTTAATATTCGTGATTGACGCACTAAGCTTGAGTAGGATTCAAAAAATATTTTTTAAATAAATTTAATGCTCATGATGAACTTATGATATATTTACGGATATATAAGCTTATGAAATATTCGAAACAAGTAACATTTACTGCAGTATATGCTTTTCTATGTGTAGTTACTTGCATTTGTCCCTGCCAATGTCAGTTAAACCTTAACCTGAGTTTAAACTCTCTTCGGAGATAAATTTAAAATCAGATTAACGTTTAATCGACTTTGGTGGAAACGGGCATCAGTCGGATTATCGAGATCTCTTTGGACGTTTCACGGTTATATTTTTAAAATCGCGTATGCGCCTCGATTATTCAGGGACACGTGGGTCAATGATGCCTGTCTATCGGCCGCGTGTATACTCGTGCCGTTAAATTAGGTTGCTATTCCGTACCATTCGTGCGGAACTGCATCATGCAAACGATGTTGAAATTAACGCCCACGCGTTACTCTCGTTACATATACCCCGACGTGTACGGCACAAGACCGCAAGGTATCACCTATCGAACTAACAATCGATCCAACTGTTCGGCCTATGTCACGCGGATGATCAGTAAATAGCTGCCTGACATTCCGTCACGACGATATCGTGATTTCGAAATAATGCAATAACACGTGCAGCCCGTGTCATGTAAATCTACGATTACGTAATTCGTAACGGGCTTCGTGTCGCACTGGAATCATAGGAGCGATATTCCTCAATCGCCCCGATATGTCTGGACGTCACTGTGCTGCCAGCGGTTACCAAATTGGAGTATTTTAGTAAATTGAGTAATTTGCATAATATAAATTTGGATGAAACGTGTAATCCGAAGCGGACGTCGCGCGTATATACTGATTCGTTCGAATTATTCGAGCAATATCGCTGTGCGGAAATTCGTAAAACTCAGTTTACGTATCACCGATCGATTTTCAGCTTCCTACAAAAGATTAGCGAACTAAATTTTCACGTAAATTTTTTCGTCATTATTTTTCTTTTTTCCATTTATTTCTTCAATTTACGAGAATAAATAATACGGGAATAAAATATGCCTTTGCCACGCAAAATAAATCGCACGGGACGTAGGAAATTATACAAAATGAAAAAAGTCGAATACAAATACAAAAAGAAAACTAATCAATCAACTATAGTGAGCAGAACTCTATATAAATTATATTTAAAAGCTCTCGAGGAATTGTAAAAATAAGTCAATGGATTAAGAGAATTCGTTGGCTAATATAAGAACTCTGTTCATGCAGTTGAATCTTCAATACACTTAATTAGCCTAGGAGCAAAACAGGACACGTCCAATTTGCACATTGGCATTATTATATAAATATTGCAATTAACATTTCTTACTGCATTCTGTTAGATGTGATTGTCTAAGTTAGATGTGCCGTGAAACAGTGGAACCGTATATCAGTTCTCTATAAATAGTTAAAATATTCGTCACGCATCGTTGCGTATCGTTGTGTGACAAATATTTCAGTCGTTTCTGTATACTGTGCGCGTACACGGTATATAGAGAAATATAAAAAAATTAGTACCAATTCAAGACTCATATTCCTATATATAAGCAAGAATATATCATCTTATACGAAGATAAAAATTGCTCTTGTATGAAGAAATTCTATATAGTTCTACCAAAAATATCATATTCTTATTATTCAAAAATAACTTGTACGAATTGAATGAAAAAATATTTTAGATAGAAAGAATGATATTTTCAAACTGAAGTAATTCTTAGTTTGAAGATATTCTTCCTATCTAATATTTTTTTCCACTCAATTCGTGAAAATGAATTCTTGAATAACATGAATATATTTTTAGTGGAACTGTAGTCGAATGTTTTCAATGTGCGGGCAAGTTTTATGTTCAAGATTACGTATTTTTGCTTATATACAGGATGTCCCAGTTCTCGTGACTTTTATTTTTCCCAAGAAACTCCCCGAACAATTTAAAGTTAATTTTGCCTTAGCGAAAATATCGAGAGAAATCATTTATGATAACTTCAGTCTTCAACATAACATATCTTTCTAACCAAGTTTCAAATTAAAATTCTGTTAAAGTCAGTTCGAAATAAGTCGGAGAAAATAATGTTGTTGTCGATTTGGTCGCTCGAAGCGTAGTTCGCGAAAAGTTCCACTTTTTCAATCGCTTGTATCTCGGAAACTATTGGCGCCTCGATATTTTCGCTGAGGAAAAGTTAACGTGAATTTGCTCGGAAAACCTCTCGGTAAAATTAAAGTCGCAATAACTGGGACAACCTTGTGCTATGTGCATACGAGAGTCTTGATACTCATTTTTTTTCTGTATATACCGTGTTTATCGTAACTTAATTTGCCGCGTACGGCGATCCATATTCGATTCTTATTGAGACTTTTATTTCTGAGAGAGGATTTTTTATGGTTGGTTAAAGCATTTCTCCCGCGTTGTTGCAGTAAAGTGAAACAGACGCTCTCTTTCTTGCAGACGGAGCAGTTCACGGTATTGTGGCTACTGTTTGCTGTGATAGTCGCCGGTAACACCGCTGTCCTCGCTGGTTTGCTGTTGGGAAAGCGCAGAAAATCCCGAATGGACTTTTTCATCAAGCAACTAGCGTTTGCGGGTGAGTCGTTGAATAGCATTAAACTCCATTCTCGCGGCCGAGGCAGATGGAGGTTTTCTCCACTCGAGACGCGTTAGCAGTCAACTTGTCGGACAAATTGACGGACGGTTACACGGCGATTCGTCGGATACTCCCCGATATATCGTGAAAATGAATCATCAACGAGCATCACTTCCTCCTTGTATAAATCTGTCTCTAAAATCTCCGTTCGCGATATACACGATTCAGACTCGGGGAAACGATGGCACATCCTCTTCCGTGTACGCGTTTTATGGGTAAACATTCGTCTTCCTTCTTTCGCTGACGTGTCTTTATGCGCGGAGATATCGTAGATACAAACAAGCGCCCACGAGAGATACTTCATTTTATTCATCGCTGATTAAACATCCCATTGATTATTTCGGACGTTTACACAAGTGTCACGTATATATATATACGAGGGCGGTCCGATAAGTACTTAGCCTAAAAAAGAAAAAAGAAAATTTTGGAAAAGTGGCGATTTCTCAATATAGTCTCTTTTTAGCTCGATACACTTGACCCAGCGATGCTCCAACTTCTTTAACTCATCTGAAAAATACGTTTTCTCGAAGTCTGCAAAGGCCTTCGTGGCGGCGATGACCTCCTCATTCGACTCAAATTTCTGCCCGGCGAGTGACTTTTTCAAGTTTGGAAACAAAAAAAAGTCGCACGGGGCCAAATCTGGAGAATACGGTGGATGGGGCAGCAGTTCGTAGTCCAATTCGACCAATTTGGCCGAATGAGGAGGTCATCCGCCACGGAGGCCTACTTTGCAGACTTCGAGAAAACGTATTTTTCAGATGGGTTAAAGAAGTTGGAGCATCGCTGGGTCAAGTGTATCGAGCTAAAAGGAGACTATGTTGAGAAATAAATCGCCACTTTTCCAAAATTTTCGTTTTTCTTTTGTAGGCTAAGTACTTATCGGACTGCCCTCGTATATATATATTTTTGCTGAGGAAAAGTTAACGTGAATTAAGATAAGAAATATATATATATATATTTCCCTTTTTTCCTCTTTTTTTGGAATGTGTCACGTAAGTCCCGCACATTTATATTTTTATCATAAACAAAAGCCACTCGATATGAGGACTGGCCGATATCTGTTATTTGTGACGTCAACGGGGAATTGATATGACACAAGCTGACTTGGAGGTCCAATAACGGAGCTTAATGCCTGTTATATGTTCGTCCATAAAAGATATCGAACCGACTCGTATATGTCCATATATTTTTGTATTTGCACCAGAATATGTGCAACGCTGAAATAAAGAAATATATCGTATTATTTTCTTATTTATTCTCTCGCTTTCAATTTTATCGTTTATTCACGCCATATACACGATAAAAAATTCTTTCCAGCAGCGTATCGCCTTAACGTGAGAATATCTTGAGTACGCAATTTTATACAATCTATTACAATAAAATATTCTCGAAGCAAAAAATAAGAAAATGATGTTACGTTATGCCAGGAGCACCCTTATTTAAAGGAAATTTTTAATATTTGCGATAAAATGAAAAATCTCTGGGTACTCTCATTAGGAAATACTCTCGGCGCTAAATGAGGGTTAATCCCGGTCTAGTAAATCTTTCTCGCATTACTTGCATAATAACTCGCGACAGTAAAAGCGGATGCACTTACCGCGGGGTTAATGCCTGCGGAAGATGGGAGAAGAAGAATGCCTTTTATGACGTAGCGTCAGATATTCCACGAACATTGAAGAACGAATATAATACGAGAAAAAAAGTCCATTTTAAAACACTCTTGGTATTACGGGGATGCTCGCCAGCTGACGATCGAAGGAACGGCCCTTGCAAAGTTCCATTTCTTTCGGAGATTTCCACGCTTCAATATCGCTCAGAACGCGAGTGCTCGACTTCGATTATGAAATGACCGATAGTTCGACAATACTTCTTTCTTAATATGAGAAATAATGGCGAGAGACCTCGTAATCCTGTTGATATAGTGGTGGGAAGCACGATAGAGAACACGGTGGAAAATACGACATGGAGTACAAGAAGTATGAACTCTTGCAATCAGACGGGATTTAAGAATATCCATTGAGACGTTTCCGATAGTGATTGTAGCTGCAGACGTGCTTCACGATACAATCATTCGGATAAAGTAGAAGACTTCAATATAAATAACGACGTTGTACACCGGTGCACGACAAGAACGTGAGAAATTATTTTAGAACCCCCTTCCTCAAGTACATTTCCCTGTGCGCTTTTCAAGAGATATTTCTCTCTATTGAAATGTAACAATATAGTTCACGTAGATGCTTGCTGTGTCACTTGAGAAAATTTCTCTTTAGAAAATTTCTCTTTTACAGCAAACGTGCAATCTCGCCAACGTCAAGCTAGCACTTGATTTTTAACAAAATTTGATGCACGTTCTATTTGCACCCGATATAGTTCCGTATTTTTCGGTAGGTTATAGCAATAATCCCGTCGAATTAGTTAAAATAATAAGATTCGAGGTTCAAGATTCGATATACTGATTTTGCTGGGTACAATAGTTGTTATATATTTGTAAATTAGGCCATTCTGAACGAAAAAGTCCTGTACCATTTTGCAAATAACCACGCAATTTTTTGAGTTATTAATTAAAAAAGTTTCTATACATGGCTATTTTTTTTTTTTTATTAATAACTCGAAATAAAGGACTTTTCTGTTCAGTTTAACCCGTTTTACCTGCACACGGTCATTCGGTCAAAACTTTCCCGACACTCTGTACATTAGACGACTGATATCATTTTTAGGATATCAGAGGTTTAGTTCTTTTACTTACATTTCCGTTTGTTAAAGAAATATATATTTTCGAGATTTTCGTTATAGATATGTATATGATCATCATCATATACATGTTACAGAATAGTATGTACATGAAATGTGAAATGTGGATTTAATATTAAGTCGAAAACTATTTCCGTTATAAATTTAAGTTCTGAGTTATGCAGTCTGCTTTTTACAAAGCTCGCAAGTTTATTCTCTCTCTCTCTCTCTCTCTCTCTCTCTCTTCTCACAGTAACATTTCACGGAGAACTTCAATCTATTGCTGCATTTTTATCGTCATGTTTCGCATGCTACAAAATCAGTTTCTCTTCATATTTTTTTGCGGATTTTAGCTGTCTCTACAGGAATGTCCGTTTATGCGATATAATCCCGAAAGAGAAATAACGTTCTCAAATTAGCGTAAAGTACGTTGAAATAAGGAATAGAAGTTGTATGGAAAGAATTGAGATACCAAATCAAGTGTTTTTTAACAAACGAAAAATATGCAAACTCATGAAAATCGTACGTCGTAATGTAAGTAGAGACTAAATCTCTGACATCCTGAAAATAATATCAATGATATATATATAACATACATATGTATGATTCGCATTGCATAAATAAAACTATTACGCGTCCCCCGGTATTATAATGACGGTAGTGAATTGCTTTCTAGTTTAATTAACGTACTGCGCATATTCCCATTACACTCGACGCAATTATTCTCTACCTTATGCCTTTGGTCCGGCATTAATATTGTGACCGGTGTTATCGAGTCACGAGAGGGTGCGGAATCGAATTTCTACTTCGTCGATAAAATACGGGCGATAAAAGTGGAGGGAGGACGAAGTTGTTTTATTCGGAGAACTAGCGGGGATGAGGCTGTGCCGTCTCTTTTCCGATCACGTTTTTAGGATCGAGTCGATATCGCGTGTTGTGTTAGCGCCCGGTACAATATAAAATTTCCACGAAATGAAGAAGAAAGCGATATCGTCTTCATTTTATGATAAAAGTTAGGGACACCGTTTAAGCGTGAATTACTTTGATGACACAATGCCCATTTGAATCCAGCTAAATCTCACCAATCCATCGCGAGGGTAAATACGAAGTATTGATATTTGAACGAAAATAAAGACAAATAAAAATTAAATACACGCGTTGGACCCGTTTATATTTTCCGAAAATATAATTCTGGACTTTTTAGCAATTTCTCCGCGATGTACAAATCGCCGCCGGACGTCATAATGCATCAGCACGAGAAAATGATTGCCGCATAGAAGCGGCTCTTAATTAATATATGACGTTTATTACGACGACTAAACAGGAACGTCGAAATTACTCGATGCATTATCGCGTGACGTTCTGTCGCGCTCGTTCGAAACGTTTTACATCCGCGACGAAAATTTTCAAGTGTCACCCACATGCGAAGAGCGAAATAATGTGTCACGGCCGAATTATCGCGCCACGTACATTCGGAGACTTATTTTGCGAACGAAGCAGATTTTATCTTATGCATGGCATTAATTAGCAGCCGGTCGGCGTCTCTGCAATCGCGAACATTCCGTGCGCTCGCTCGTTCGGTATATTATAAAAACCTAATTTCGCGCGTACAACGTTCGCGTTTCTAACGACGTATCGAATTCGCAACACCGTAAACAAAAATCTCGGCTTATTGAGCGAGTGGAGGAATAGAACGGCCGTTTCGCGATTCCCAAAACGGAAACGCGAAACGAGCGAAACGGATTCAATCGGTTCTTCGTGTAATTTGAAACGCCGAGTATTAACCCGGATATAGCAGCGGGGCATTACTGCGGATGCAGCGGCCCGGTATTAACCGTGATTTCGGTTCGACCAAGGCAACCGGAAAATACCGTCGGAATGGATAATGCCCGCCCGTATTAGCAGGCGCCGATAATTAGTCCGGCTCATTAGCGACCGACGCCTCACAATTCGCGTATCTTGTTTCAGATTTGCTGGTCGGCCTGATATCCGTGCTGACGGACATAGTCTGGAGAGCGACAGTTACCTGGCACGCAGGCAACGTGGCTTGCAAGCTGATAAGATTCATGCAGGCCGTAGTGACATATAGTTCAACCTATGTTCTCGTGGCGTTGTCAATCGACAGATACGACGCTATTACGCGTCCGATGAACTTCTCCGGCAGCTGTGAGTACATCAGCATACGTGATCTTGCCCTTTAATGTTGCGAATCCCCTCAGAGAACGACGCCGGGCCGAGTTAAACTCATTAATTCAGCTAAAGCTCCGTGGGATATATAGCGCGATTCGAGGCGTGAATGATGTCTGACCTCAAAGTCGAAAGGGCTCTCTCTCTCTCCCTCTCTCTCTCTCTCCCTCCCTCCCCCTCTCTCTCGCTCGCTCGTTCTATCATTCTCCTTCTCTTAAGCCAGCTTCACGTAATTCTTTAACTATAAGCAGAGGAGAATACTTGAAAGCTTAATGGTGAATTAAGCGCTGCAAAATCCAGCGAGTTCCGGGAAAACATTGAGAACATTTCTTTCCGCAAAAGGTAAGCTTTGGACTGAAAGCCCCCACGAATCGAGCAAAACGGCGCAGGATAGATAATGCTGCTTTCTAGCTTGAACTCGAGTGAGCTATCTGTGATAAAATTCTGAATTATGAATTTAATCGACTAATATAACATTCGTATTCCCCGCTTACGATAAATTATATTGGTCAACATAAGATCTGGGCGCCTGCACGGAAAAAATTAAGTATCAATTGAAGACTTATATATTCTAACGGACGCAATCACTGTTTCATATGTAAGCAGGAATATATATATCTTCCAGCAAAAATTTAATTTTTATAGCTAAATAATATTTTTCTTTATTTTCTACCTCAGCACATAAACGTGTGAACATATATAGGAAATATTTAAATTCAGAAAGGGCGCAATTTATTATGCAAAATTTGTTAACCTGTTATCATTACAAGCGAAGAAGTTAAGCCGTCAAAAATTAGATAGCGTGAAAACAATTCTCTGTGCCACCAATAATTTTATCGTAAAAATACTTTCATATTGTGTTTATAATGTGACGTATTCATAACGCGATGAAATGCATTGCGTAGCGAGATAATAGTGCGTCTCTGCTTTAACGAGCAAGTATCCTCATCGGCAGGTGTCTTTTCCGCCAGTCTCTCCTTTTACGACATGACAGGATAAAGAATCGAATCGTAATGTCACCGGGGTTCCTTTATCTCTCTGCCCGAGATAGTCGTATCGTTTATCACACGAAAGCATCTCACGACTGCCGGACTGTTGCGGTGCGTGCACCGCGCCAGAATAAAATTTATCTTCCGCGTTTCGTGTTCGTCGTTCTTTCCGACTGGATAGCCGGAGAATTACAGAAACTAGTAGGTGCCCTACTCTGGACCGAGAATCAGGTTCGATCGTCATCCGATGCTTCGATAGCCGACGGATTAATACGAAAGAATTACTCATGCCCTTAGATTAACCCTCGATATTACGGACCGTTACAGGTTAACTTTTTACGATTGTAGTCCTATATCCAGTAATATATTGTAATATTGCCAAATTTCTGTCAAACTGTTATTAGAAATTGTGTACCTTACATATCAATTTCTGAAAAACTGAATGGCCATTTTGTAAATTTTTTTTATAATATTACTACAAATCGTTGTTACTGTCGCTTTTCATTTTTAATTAAAATTTTAATTAAAACCGTAAAATCAGTTTAGTTTCTAACATTAAAAACGTGATACCGGAAGTTTTTGCACTTGTGGTACATGTTAATAGTGTTAATTTTGAATGAAATTGTCTCAGCTTCGGTATGGTCAATCCAATTCTAATTTTACATGTGTGTTTCAATTAATATGTCTTAAAATTTGAAAAGATTCTTTTATAAGAAAATAAATTTACGAGTCAATTACCTTAGATACATCGGCAGTTTCATTCGCGCAGCTTCTAGTGAATTTATGTCTAGAGGAAATAGCGTTTAATTAATTTTATCGACGGCCACTTCTCATTCGACGTTATTGAATAGAAATCAAAATATCTCTCTCTCTCTCTCTCTTTCTCTCTCTCTCTCTCTCTCTCTCTCTCTCTGGGAAATATGAACGGGCTTTATTGAATTGCGAGACTCTGAAAATAACTAAACCGTCCGCTGCCTCGTACAATACACAGCCATTCACATCGTACGAATTTTCACGAATTCGATTATTCTTCCGGCTAACCAGCGGATAATTATCAATCGCACGTTGTAATTACGATGATAAAATTAATGGGTACGTGTCGACTATCGACCTTGAGTAACATCTTTCTATGTCGGCCTGATGCTACGATACTACCGTTGATTCTAATAAATTACACATCGCTGAAAAATAAACGACGTACACGAGGATAATGATAACATGTCGAAATACGAAGTCGCAGCGTATACATCATTCTCCATGTTGCCGTACAGGACCGAAAACGAATGATCCGGTACGTTGTAATCGTGTCGCGTCGCGTTATATCGGGTGCTTCGTGCTCTTTACATTATTACAGCAGCTCGTAGATATTCTTGCCTTTTCGATTTTTCAAGCGAACCTCGCAATTTCCCGCGACGAGCGTTCTATCATTATTCGTTTTCCGCTCGTACCTCCGAGCCGCCGTCGGCTGACGTAAAACTCGACGTTTACGAAAATGATCAAACTTCCTTCATACCTCCGCAGTATGCAAAGTTCAACGCGCCTACACCTATCCATCATCGGAAAACTCTCGTTTAAGTCAACAGCCGAGACCCGAGTAAAAAGTTCCGTCTCAGATTTCCGGTAATTGTTACGTACGATTATTTCCCGTCGATTGATGGGTTAATTTTGATCGCAGGGTGGAGAGCTCGAGCTCTGGTAGCTGCGGCTTGGGGTCTGTCGGTATTATTCAGTGTGCCGATTTTATTTCTATACGAGGAGAAACGAATACAGGTATAGGTATATTTCCCTTCAAGAAAGAAATGCTGCTTTAAATTATTAGAGAAAACGAGCTTTCGTTATTTTTATACCTTCTGCACATAGAAAAATATCATTCTACTGTTAAGAAAAGCGATTATTCGGTTTACTTTTCTTTTTTAACTAATGGTTATCATCAATAAAAATATTTTCTTAATATATAATAATAATTTTAAAATATATTCAAACTTTAGAAATTATCACGTACAGTCAGTCACAGGACGGTTGTAAGATAGCATTTTTTTATATGCTTCGAAACACAAAAGATATGATGAAACAAACCCATAATTCACGAACATGCGCAGTAGATAATTAGACAGTTGTCAAAATTACATGTGTATATGCCAAAATTTTTTGATGAAGTTTTATGATATGTATATGCCAAAATTACATATGCATATAAATACATGTGTATGTATTTTGACAGCTGTATGATTATCTACTGCGCATGTTCGTAAATCATAAGTTCGCTTCGCCATCATTTTTGTATATTCCGAAACATGCCAAAAATAAAACCCGTCCTGTGACCGACTGTGTACTCAAAAGAAGAATTTATCTCTTTCCAAGAATATCGTAAAACTTCATCAAAAAAGTTTTGATTTAGATTTGGTTAATTTAAATAAACAATCCGATTTTTGTTTTAATTTAATATTCTAGATTGAAATATTTATTATTTATTTTATTCATTAGGATGAAGAATGTATTTTAAATAAATTCAATGCTTATGATGAACTTGTGATATGTATTTGCGGATATATAAATTTATGAAATACTTGAAAAATAAGTGATATTTACTTGTATGCTGTACATATTTTTCTGTGTGTATTTTCAATATATCTCGTCGAAAGAATGCTGCATAAGTATATTGTACAAGTTCGAGTCATATACTTCTGAACAGAAATGGCATATTTTTACCTCTTTCTAACAATCATTTCTTTCAATTCTTTCAAATCCTTAACGATTAATTTCTTTCTAACAATCGTGATAGTACCAAATGGCGGCATTGAAATTCGAAATTTGCGCATTAAGGAGATCGATCGCGAGTAGCTTAGTCGCTAGGCTGGATGGTTGTTTTACAGGGCACGATGCAGTGCTGGATTGATCTGGGCTCGCCGACCCAATGGAGGATCTACATGAGCCTGGTGAGCTTCAGCCTCTTTATAGCGCCGACTTTGATAATAGGAGGGTGCTACATGGTCATCGTGGCCACGATATGGTCGCAAGGAGGAGCGCTACGTCAGGGACCTACCAGGGACACTCGGAGGGCGTCCTCGAGGGGTCTCATTCCCAGGGCGAAAATCAAAACAGTGAAAATGACTTTCGTCATAGTGTTCGGTAAGGCCGATCGAACGGGAACCATTATCCCACGGAGACGTTTATTTCTCGCGTGTAAACCGACTCGTCCGAAAGCTCGCGTTAGCTCCCTCGGGACCAACGCGTGGAAACCGCCGTGGATTTCATTTTCTCCCTTTTTCTCGCTTTTTTTTTAAATTCTATCGCGCCATCGAGAGATTCACTTTTGAAAGGAGCCAGATTTTTCAGAGAATCCTCCCGCTCGAGGATTTACATAAGCTCCTTTTGGCTTCGCGAAGTTATATCTCGACGTCTGGCGCATGATTTTATCATTGGCTTTCGTCCCCTCCGTCGATGCGTGCGGATACAAGGAAAACTCTTAGATTCCAAGGAATCGCAACGTATCCCTCCGCAAAAATCGGCTGTCTCTTTTCTTTTTCTCTTTGACGTACAAATGAGTGCTTGGCTAAATACGTCATCGGACGACAATAACGGAAACGGCAGCGACGCTCTCGAAGACGTCCGGAGCGTGTCTACTTCACGGTAATAAAAAGTAATAACCTTCTATCTGGCTCCTCCTACGTCTTTGATACGAGATCGGCGAACCGTTTTATTTGCGCGGCATAAAGGACGCGCCGCAAGGAGATAAGCTGGTATGCTCGCTATTCGATATCCTCATACGAGTCGCGTACAAAACGGGAGGGATTGTGCATATAGTGTGTTCGAGAAAAACGCTGCGCCGAGGCGAATATAATTTCTAGGTTACGAACGAATATACGAATATACGTGGGACCTGTTCGATTGTTTTACAGTGACTGTCCTCGATTTAATCAGTTTGATTGGATCGATCAAACGGTAGAGATTTCGCGTAAGGAAAGGAACGAAACAGGATAAAAGTGAAACGGAACGAATGTGAACCGGCACGCAGATGATGATGCACAAATCAAATATAATTAATAAACGAGAAATGTATATGTATTCATATATGTAGATGAATTTACAGAATCAGAGATACTATTTCTATGAATATATCAACATATATTATATACGGAAAAAATATTATAAAAAATTATCATAAAATTTTGCAATACTGGACCATATCGAAATTATGAAATTATTACGTGTGTTGCAATCTTTAGTGATATGTACAATGAAATACATTATTAAAGATGATAATATACGTCTTATTTTAGTTATAATTCTTAGTTATAATGGTCTAAAAAAATTTTTTGGTAATTTTCACTACAATATTTTCTCCGTACATATTTATCATTTGTTAATTAGATTGGATTTGCACATTATCACCTACGCTCCGGCTCACATTGCCATCGTTCTGTTCCTTTTCTGTTTCCGTTTCTGTTGATTGTATTTGCTTTTTTAGAAGACTTAATCATATACTCGAAAGGAACTAACGTTGAAAATACGTCTCAAGGGAGAGGGAGTGAGAGAAAAATTGTCTTCTTCCTTAAGATGTTACGTAACGGCAGGTGCATCCCGATCTTTCTTTCTCAGTATTGAAGAAATTTCAATGCGTTTGTCTTGAAATAGCTTCCGTTTGCGTTTGTTCGAAAAAGCACAAGCAACCGTCTTGATTATTCGGTCTTGTTGTTCCTCGCACGTCGACAGTCACAGTATAGAACTTCTACGAGCTCTTTCCGCGTGAGCAGCGTGCTCGGTCCCTTCGTCTTACGAGGGGCTGATCTTACGCGCACAATCGCCGAAACTAATCAGATTCGTTCCCGACAATTGGCGACAGCGGCGAAATTCCTTCTTTTTCAGCTGACGAGACGATCGTCCCGGACGGTGACTCGACGGACCGGCCGAATTCTCCCGGCATTTTCCGAAACTGGAGAGTATGTAAAAATCTCCGAAAGCCGGCGAGCTTGGAACGAGAAAAGTTACGCATGCGGCATAAATTTCGCGTGTAACGAGTGCCGTAGCTACAACGACAGCCGTGCTCTTGTTTCGTGATTCGAAATTACCATGCGCATAATGTATCGCGGATTACGATCGCGCTCGTTGACGATGCGTTCCATCTCGAAGTCAAAAGACAATGCATTTTTATACGTCGAGGAATCTTCCCGGTTAGCTGCGACGCAATATTAAGTTATTTTAACGCTCGCTATGCGTTATTTCTTTGCGCGTTATTGAACTTTTCCTTAGTTTGACTATTTAACTATTTAACTATTCCTGAATATATTAATTTAACATATTTGTATACTTTTTAACATATTTCCCATGTGAAAGTCACGCAAAAATTTAAGCGGGCCGTTTGTGACACCAAATTTTTTACTGTGTAATTTTACTTTGGCCTTTGCCAGTTTCGCCGAGAATCGAGTTATCGCGCGCCGAAGTGAACCGTTTCTTAACGATTGCCCATTCTGCGATTGCTGTTGCGACATTAGAACGTCGGAGCAACGAACTCGCCAAGATTCCGCCGGGGGTACCTTCGAAATAACAACAAGACGCGTTCATCTGTCATTTGCAAAGGAGACAGTGCGATCATTGATTTCAATCATGTGAAATCGTTTGTGCGTTGCGACTGAAGCATCGAGCGCTCATCGCGAACAACTAAACAAACAGTTTATGTTTCATCAATTGTGTTTTTCAACTACAAATTCATGCCACAGCGTGGAGACGCACCATTCAATTTCCAATTCAATAATCCGTAACGATATCGTCGAACAACACACGCGCGGCCGCAGATACGCGGTGAAGATTTTTCACGGCAGATCGCGTGGATGAATGCATATCGTATTATTACTAAAATCACTGGCGCGCGGTGACTTTATCGATAAATTTAACGGCGATAAAAAGAAGCGCTGGAAGTATCACGCCGCTAACAATGCGTCATTAATGATCCGTAAGGAATTGCTTCGTTTACGGAAAATTTCCGATGCGAAATATTAAACGCTTAATATTTGCGCGCAACGAGTAATCGATTTCCCGAACATCGTGTAACTTCCCTCGCTGTAAGAGATCTAATAACACGCTAACACGCGAAAATTCTCCTACGATCGGCTTGTGAGCGCCGAAGAGAAAATTGAATTTCCACGTCTTTCATCTCGCACACCACCCGTGGAAAGTTTCCAGCTAGCCCCCTTATATCATTTCACCATCAGCTCGACCGTTACCTTCTTCCAAATCGGCGAAAATAATTTCCCGATCCACTTCACGCCGATCGGGCGCCGATTCCCTTAAGTTACTCCATCGAGTCGCAGGTGTGACATTTCCGAAATTACGCGCACCGATGGATTCCATGATGCCACCGTTGTTCTATTTACAGATCGCTAATGCATTTAGGGATATAGTCGGGGAAGTAGAGGAGAGATCGTTGAGAATGCTGAACGAGAAGCGAATTAGCCGCGGGAGCAGCTTGAGAAATCTCGTTTCAGTCAGAAAAGAAGAAAAATGCAGAAAAAGAAGGAAAAAAAAAGAAAGATATACCACAGTCGCGACAGACGTTGCGCTATTTTTCGCGTTTAACTGTTCCCCGTTCATCGTTTCTCCATTATCGGCGCCTTGTCGTCGTTGGAGTGGCAGTTCTCAACTTCTCTTTCGGTTGTAGATATGTTAAAAGATGAAGGAAGGCTATACATCCTGTCTCGCACGATATCAGTCGATATACAACTAGTAGTAACTAGCGACCTGAATTTCCATGACAGATTCTGCGATGAATTTCGAGTTTATTTTTCCTCGACGGAAATGTCGAAGTACCGTTCGCTTCCGTATTAGAATTGAAGAAGAGTCTCTTCGAGAGGTAATTTTAGCGAAATATAAATAATCAGATGACTTTTATCCATTCCTTAATGAATATGTTTGCTTATGAAAAAAAAGTTAATATGCAAACAAGCAAATGGAAGATATCGACTTTAATAAGCAAAATGTTATTTTTGCCCCTGGTCTTGCCTAAAGTACGAGGCAAATAAAAGTCAAAGCGCTGTTGTAATGACGAAAAATATATATTTGATTGGCGACACACTAATTTTCTTGCAAACGTTTCGATTTTCAGTATTTGTACCCTCTTCGGCGCATACAATAAAGGTAAGAAGACATAAACTTAAAAAAATATAGGTACAGTATAACAGTAATACATGGTCCTTGTGTAGCAATGCGAAAATTAAAATAATAATGAGTTAAATGTCCCGACAGATATCTGTTGCTCTAAAATAAAAAGAAAAAAGAAATTGAAGTTGAAAATATAAAGTCAATTTAGCCGTTATAACAGCGCTTTGGTTCTTATTTGTTTCATACGTGATTTCATGGTTTGAATTTAGCAAGTCAAATAAATCATATTCACGCGACACGTTATATGCTTGATGATCTTTTGAATTTATTACGAAATACTCTGCATACGCATACGTATAATGCACATGCAAATGCATTTGACTCGACGACATATCGAAGTACCAGCCGTCCGAAGTTTGGAAATAAACTTTTATAGTCACGGATTTACAGACGGTCGCGCTGATCATTTTGTATCGATCCACTTACTATAGCGACGAAATGCAAGAGTCTGGTAACCTTTCTTCAAATATTCTCGCCTTTAGAGAACGTCTTCGTGTGGTTTCTGATAGCTACATTTCTCAGGATCGAGCTCTGGATTTTCACGAAAGGTAAAACACGTCGTCTTAAATATAAAGAAACTTTCAACAAAATGCTAGTTTATTTTTTTTCCAAATACGTTAACGTTCAAAAGTGTAAGGCTGCAAGACGATGGAATGATTGAAAGAAGTAAAAATCTCAAGTATGTAATACATGACAGAAAATAGATATTAAATCGAAGCACATAAGCGTTCTGCTTTGAATCAAGAACCGTTTCATTTTTACTGTTGAATTCATGGAAGTATATCGAGTCAATACGAGCTTTAATCACGTTTCCTTTCCTTGAAACACCGATCTATCAATGCTGCATTGTCTCAGAAGGGGGAATATAGGAAACAATACGACGTGCCATGCGATCAGCGTCGTCTGTAGAACGATAGTGAATAAATAAATTGTTCCTGACAGGCACGACGAACACACGTTCTTCCGACTTCTCGGGTTCGCCAATGACTCGCGTAAATCTACGTGAAAACTTTAAGACAGGAGCGAGATGAAAATCGTACGACAATTGCGATGCGTGAAACGAACGTGAGACACAACTTTACACGAATGCATTCGATGCTACATTAAGAAAGAAAGATTTGTGAAATAGCTGAATGTGCTACACGAACGCACTCATTTTTTTGTAATTAAAATCGCTTTCTCAACTGTTTAAATTACGTTTTGTAGCGTAAAAAAGGACACGCATTTTAGATTTGTGAAGCGGGCTGTGGGGGGGGGGAGGAGGGGGTTGAGTTCATCCTTTTTTCACTCAATTTCACTTGTTGAATCCGAAAATCATAGTCAAAATAGTTTTAGTAAGTTTTGGCATATATTTTAAACAGAAATAGACGACAATATTTATTAAAATCGTGTATCTTATTTGCACTGTAGAACAAATACGATTTTGTAGTGAAGGCTATTATTGTAGAGCGTTTATGAAGCGGAATACTATGTATTAGATTAATCTATTAAAATCCATTAAAGTGTGAAGTTTCAATAAACTATGCTAATTTTTATTTTTTGCAAACTCAGAGCTCGCTTTGTCAGGACTTTCGTGACGTTCTTAATTAAAAATAGCAACGATAACTCTTAATTGAAGTCACCCGCGGCGAATTTGCTAAAAATAACATTACGGCTACTATAGCATTTTGTCAAATCGATTTATAATATATGAAAGGACGAAATTTATTTTCATTACGATTAACGTTTTATAAACAAATATAACTGCTATTATTGTTAAATTTCACCGTACGATACGTAAGGAGACGTAAAGGAGAAAAGAAGCGGAATGACGTATAGGATAAATTACCTTGCATTATAAAGTAGAACAGCTTTTACGATTTTTCTCACGAGTGAAAATTGTTGAACGTTCTTTGATACATAATTACAAAAAACTGCTCTGTATTTTTTTACGCTAACCTCAGTCGAAATTTTAATCCTACATTAATCCTGCTAATTCCGTCAAACTTGAAGGACTATAAGCAAGATCAGGGAGATTGATTGCAGTACTCACGGTTATATTTCAGTGTTCATCCTCTGCTGGAGTCCATATATAGTCTTTGATCTCCTTCAAGTTTATGGGCATGTGCCAAAAACGCAGACGAATATTGCGGTTGCTACTTTCATACAGAGCTTGACACCGCTCAACTCAGCCGCTAATCCGATTATCTATTGCCTCTTCAGTACGCCGTTTTGTAAAACCGTACGGTGAGTACGCTTATTGAACTTTATACAAATATACAGTTGTAATAAAATCATTTTTCACCTTATGATTTTATTGAAATTTCTCGTTTTAAACACGTATTTTTGTACGATATGCGAGCAAAGAATAAACAAATACATATATTTCGATTAAAATCATATCGAAACATTATAAATATCCAATTTGACGCGTAAACGCAAACAAATATGCGCGAGAAACGAATTGTAAGAACAGTAGAGTTAACGGTAGAGTTAACAATAGAGTTGCAACATCGATGCAACATGTGATTTAATATTATGTAGAGTGATTTGCAAATGGTGCATATAAAACGTTCGGGGAAATTTCCTAATTTAAATTGTTGAAATTTCAATAGTAAAATACTGATCAGTAAGAATTCTTCGAATAAACAGAAAATTTGGAGATCTTTCTCTCATATAATACTTCCTATTACGCCCGGGACGACGACCTACGATTAACCATGAAGAGAGTAACAATTTTGGGATAAAGAAGAAGAAGGGGTAATAAATCCTCGTCATGGAATTTCTCCGTTAAACAATAATTGTTGCTTGGTAGGAACATGCAGGCGATCTCCTGGATTTCGGGATGGTGCCCTGCGAATCCGCATCACTGCTTTGGCACCGGAGCGACGACTAACAGCACGAGAACGACCGTGACGACGTCTCTGACGGCTCATTCTTCCCGCAGGAGCGGACACTTCACGATGCTACACACCACGTCGCGGAAACGCGTCATGGTTTCCTTAGTCTAGAGACCATGTTCTTCGGAAAATAGAACAGCTACGTAGATTTTCTTGCAGATCGGTATCCTGAAGAACGAGTTGAAGCCGATAGTTCGTCTAAATGTCTTTTGTTCTTGTCTCTCTATTTTTGACTCGGATACTTAATAATTTGTCATCTCTATACTCGAAGTACAATGACCATGATATACATACGATCTCATAACGCAAAGTTTCGTATAGCTTTATTCGGTAGTTCCTTATAGAATATTCACAAAAAAAGAAAAAAAAACAGCTTGAAGGCCACGATTATATCGCACTGTCGTCTACCTAATTAGAAGCGCTGGTGGTATATTTTAATACTTTCGAATATTTTTCATCGTGATGTTATCTGCGATGGATTTCGACGACTTCCTTACACCGTCCAGTAACAAGGGACTGATATAGCAAGGTCCTTTCTTACTACGTAAGTTAATTAACGAGGCACGTACTTGTACAGCGCACACCATCTTATCCACCGTCGTAAATTTGTCCTCGTGCAGTGATCTCGATATTAAGTGGACTGCTCGAAAGATACTTTCTCACACCGAAACAATGACGTAAAGAATACTGATGATTTTATATACAGTAAAAAGAAGCAAGCTAATCGTCATTGTTTCATTGATAATGCAGTCTAGTATCCTAAAACTTTTGTATATAACATTACTTATGTCTCTTTACTATTATCTATTCACTCATATATATGTATCTGTATTTGAGAAGCAAAGGATACAAATTGAAAAAGTCACTTTTTCTTTTAAAAAAAGAAAAAAAAGTTGTTAAATTCCAAAGTTAGAAATATGCAATTTTGCAAAGTATGTTAAATATATAAGTGCGTGTAATAAATTTATGAAATTATTGTGTTGATGCTATTTTGTGTTTTATATTTATTTGTTTATTTATTTTGAATAATCATATTCAGAGAGAAATTTGAGTTTTCCTCGTGATTAGAATATATATGTCAAATTCAACGAGTTTGCACTTACTCTCCTTTCTACTATTCAGATACAAAAGTTAGACATAAGAGAATTGCGTAAGTCAGGCAAAATTGTCACAAAATTGTACTTAATCTAAAATGATTGTGTACGCACCGATGTTATCAGTATTATTAAAGGGACAATTTTGAATGCGATAGTAATATATGTTTTCTGTTACGCGATATTTATTAGTCAGTGTCTTGGGCTCGATCGATCGTTAAAGATACCTTTTATCCGCGAATTTTACCTTTAACTTCTACGTGTTTTCGTTATTTGCCAGGGTATTCTTGTATACGGAGTATTTTAGAATCTCAGCTCCACGGAACAGCAATTTGCGTGGAATTATTATTAACGAGAAGGAAATAAACTTAATGTTAGCTCACTTAATGTTCACGTTAATTCACTTAATATTCAACTCTTGCATAAGCAAATTATCAAATGTGGGAATTTTAAATCACGATATATATACATTACGTATGTGGCTTTTTTTTTTTATAGTAACGCATAATTTGCGTGTGCATCGCAGACTTGTTTCCTCATAAAATGTTCTTTGTGTGTTTGACAAAGTAACCGGGACAAGAGGTATCCAGCTACAGTTATCGAACAGCCTATGTGGAAAATAATACGCTCAAAATATACATGTATACACACATGTGTATAACACGAAGAGAAAACTCTGCCGCGGGTGTACATATAACCGTAATAATACTGCGTGACGATATGTAACATATTAATGTGTAACATATTCCATTCGCATTTTCGCGAATGATGTGAACTGTCGAATATCGTGATGCCCTACGACCTGTGTACGATCTATCCGCGTTGTGATTCATATCCCACTCAGAAATAAAAAGACGAATAGACGTCAATTCGGCGTCGACGAATGGTCGAATACCAATCGAATATCAGTCGATATTTTTGTCATCTTCGACCTCATAACAAATATTGTTTTTATATCAATTGAACGATTAACAAAATTTACACAAGTTTCCAAATCACAGAAAAGCTGAAAAATGTTCCGATCAGTTGTACTACAACTACAAATTTCGACCGTCGATGGATCACTACAGTCGGTGTGGATTCGACGTCGATTTGACTTTTTATTTCTAGCTGAGATGGCGATCGACGATCGATTTCCCGGTAATGTCATCGAATCTCGTCCATAGATAGCGCAAGGAAAAAACATATTTGTATGAGTAAATTATTTATGATAAATAAATACGTAAATAAGCGAAAGCGAGAGAAAAAGAAAGGAAGAAAGAGTAACCGAGTATCTGGATACGCATGAATAGTCGTTCCCTTGTAAAGTTATGTTATTGTTACTCGATCCGTCGTAAAGGATCGCGTGAGTGTACGAATGTAATATGCCTGTTCGATCGTCAGTGTCTTAATAATGCATCCAGAGTGAATTTCAAAAATGCCAACAAATCCAAGGAACGCGTGATGCAATTCGTGAATGTTACAATCATTGTAGATGATCTGTTACGTAGCTATTTCCGACTAAATTACAGAGATCGCGTAATTGTAATTTGCTTGTGTGATGAGCGTAATTTGACACGCAACCTGTTGACGCTTGTCAAATAATTTAGTTGGCCACAGAGCCTCATTTCGTTTTTCAAGATACCATGAAGCAAATATTCGTTGGGCAAATAACTCATTTTATTATTTTCCACGAAGACTGATTTTCTTAAGGAAGCGGATTTTAAACGCGTTGCACTTTTTTTATTATTTTGTCGCTCGATTTATGCTTTAACGGCTCGTGCTTTAAATCGATATGCATGTAGCATGTAAGGCTTTCTATTTAATACGCACGATAACACATATTATATCTGATTTGTCTGATTTATTACGCAAACTTTTATAGATATATCTTGCCTATTTTAAATTATCGTCGATTTTAAGGGTCTAAAATGGGTTTCCAACGAACCTTGAACATTCGTTGTACTTCACAGCTAAAACTTTCATACTGATGCACGAATGATACGTACAATAAGTACAACGATGTATATGTAATTTCGAGGCGCGTAAATGTAGACTAGTGTGTATTTGTAATTCTATCATTATTGCATTATAGCGTGTAAAAGAAGGTGATCTAAATTATTCGGAGATTGCGTGATGTGACGTTACGCGATCATCCATAATGAGTACCATTTGTAGATAACAATGAATAAACCTATAAATTATTTAATGCAATCTTTAATTTTGGCCTTTAATTACTTTCCAAATATAACGTTATTCCATTATTCCGCGAACGTTTCATTTTTCTTCCAGACATTAATTACTAAAATATTTTAATATCACACACACACACACACACACACACACACACACACACACACACAATATTTTAATATCACACACACACATAAGTATGTGTGTTCTCATTAATAAGGTACGAGAGAACTGCGTTGTCAATAATTTAATAATATGTGTTTTGCCACGATAATATTAATTATTTCAATAGACTACCGTGCAAATTAATCAATTAAATTTCATATTCTCTGGAAATTGAGGGCAAATTAAATTGAAGGGTTTCCCAAATTCCCAAAAATGTTCTGCTTTCCAATATTGTGCTCGTCAAGCATGTGCGAGCGCGTAGCATTAACATATTTTAAATAAAAACGTTAAACAAAAGTAGTTTTCACTATATTTCGGAATATCGTGCGGAACTTCTAATTTAAATTCCATTCATTCGTACGTGAGCATCCTACGTTTGTGTGAACGCACAGATGACGGATTTAAAGCACACATAAAGAATTTACGAAGGCGTAATACACGGTGACGTCAAATCGCACGGAAGAAATGTGGTGCGTACTATCGACCGAAATAAAATTCCTCTCGATGCCTCCATTTCTCTTTACGGTCTGCGTAATCGTAGCTGTAAAGTCCAACGGCGCCATGATAAGTCAAATGCGGCCGGAATAATCGTTTGACGTTCATCGTCGTTTTATTCGCTGCTTCTTTTCCCGTCGCAACGAGATATTTTCGCCGATTTATTCCGGTAATATCATCTACCGCGCGTAAATACCGAAATTCCGTGAGAGAACGATTTATTCTGAATTTCGATTTATCTGTTTCGCCGAAGGCAATAAAAGACGAAGTTAATGACCGAAAGACAAACGTTACTCGCAAAATAAATTATGTTTATCTCAAAATGTATCGTTGTGCATTTAGTATAAATCGAGTTGATTTCCTATCGAGTCTGCGTTTAATTGACAGCCGTGAAATGTGCCGTGGTCCACATTGCGTGGGAAAACAAAGGAGCTCGGCGATCAATGGCCACGACGATAGATTTGACGAAATTTCACATGAGATGAAGTAAGTGACGTATGTGGCTTACGTAACGAACGTTCATTCCGCTCTCTTACCCCTTTGGCCGAGGGATATGTGAAGACTCGGGGGAAAGGGTTTTTGGTCGTTTCGGCCGGTGAGGGACCTGCCGATCCCATGATCAGCGGTTCGCAGCAGCCGTTATTTACCGTCCGGAAGAGGAAGGGGGAGGACAAGAGAGGCGTCAGCATTCCGCGGAAGACGAGGACGGGAGACTGACTCGATTCTAGGTTGGGACATTAAATTTGAGGAGTCACGAATGCGGAAGAGTCGCCGACGTGGATCATCGCAGAGCGAGTTTCGACCTTTCGGCCTTTGTACGCATGTGAAAAACGGCGTGCACTTTCGCGGAAGAAACGATGACGCGTTCGCGCGCGGCGTAAATGCGTCACGGCGAGACGAGAATTTCCTTTCCAGAGTAGCGAGTAGCTCGACATCGTCGCCGACGGATTGAGCGGCTTGCGAGACGGTTATATTCGTCGGTTCTGTCGAAGAGACGAGAACAGCGAGGACTATGTCGTGCGCTCATTATCCAACAATGGATCCCCAGCGAGATCGATTGCACTCGGGCTTCAAGTATCCTCACAGTTGTTACACCACGGCTTGCCACACACCTACCACGGAGAACCCTTCTTTCGAAGTCTGTGACAACAGTAATGTCCTATTCCCGAGGGAAAATCTAACTGCGCTTGAGATGCACAATGCACTGGGAGAAAAAAATTGTTGGAGTAGCTTACAATCTCACTATATTTTATAGTCGATATTTCGCCTCAACTATACGTTTATAGTTCTTTTAAACATGTAAAACATGACAAAGTAGACCCGGATTTATAGTAATAACAACTATGTTATAACTATGAATTAACAGTTTTCTTAACTATAATTTTTAACTATGCCGTTATAGTTTCGAATGTCATATGTTTTTTTTCTCTCAGTCTATCACGAATATAAGTCGCGTCAAAGCGAGAGAAATCTTTCGAAATGAGATGCATTTCTCTTTCGAAATTTATTTTGAAAATATTGCGCAACTGAAACAACAACGAACATTAATTCGCATTCAATGTTAGCCGCGGGCAGAGGCGATCCGCCGTTTCCCAGCTTGAGCGTACAAACGAGGAGGATCGCGAACGTACGCTCGTACGAGGCGGCGGGATATCGGGATTCTGTGTCGGTGGTCTCGGCCGAGAAAATGCAAATGCGCCTGAGGTTCCTGGAGGATAGCAATGCGACGATGCATCTCAAGAATCGGGATCTTATCGCGGAAAACAGGAGTCTGGCGAGACGGTAAGACCACTACCGCGCGCAGTTAATCACCGCGCAGTCCCAGATAACAATATAGTTTAACGATCACGTTCGCGGCTTGACGAATATCTGATTCTACGTGCGAATTTCCTCGATACGGCCAATGTACAGGCTCGAAGAGGACACGATCAAAATAGGGAATTTGCAGAGGAACATGTCGCTGCTGCAAGATGATCTTAATGATGCGAGGAACAAGCTGGCCAAATTGTTGGAGGAGCAAACGGTGAGAACACTGAGAGAGGAATA